CTGGGATAATTACTTAACAACAAGAAAGAAAGAAACACATGTGTTCTTCCATTTCCTTAGATATTAGCGCAGGCAGGATGTGCAAATACAATTATACTTATCATTTGTTAGGCTCTTTATGTTTTACAAAATCTTTCTGGAATCATTACTTAACAACAAGAAAGAAAGAAACACACATGTTCTTTCATTTTCTTAGATATTAGCGCAGTTAGGCTCATTGGTTGCAACAAGAAAGAAAGAAACACTTATGTTCTGGTATTTTCTTAGAAATTAGCACAGGCAGGCTCATTGGTTACAACCTGAAAACCAATTACATTGATCAATGAATACTCCCCTTTTCTCTTTACTGACAGATGTGTAGTACTACATTAGCAGCATTAAGTGTCTAGATTATTTCATAAAAGCTTTGTATGTTGCTTACTTTTTTGGTTGCTTTTCTCAGTTCTTTGTGTAGTATGTATATATTTGCTTTGGTAGTTTTTGGTGTTAACTAAGTAGATTGTTGTATATGTGACTTGTTTTTTACAGGGGTGGCTTGTTGGTTGCTGGTGTAGATTGTTTATTGTATGGTGTCTGCAAATAATGAATTATTTTTTTTTGTATTATTTTCAGCAATGAAGGGTGGCTAGGATGTAGTTTTGTCTTGGCCACCAAATTTTTTTGGGTCTCTATGTGCAGCAACCTCCACGTGGTGAGACCTGGGCCCTCTATATTATTTAAGTATGTAATTGCTAACTGCACATCGCCAGTAAGGCCAGATGGCATTATCAATTACATACTATTTAATATGAGCTAATGGCTGCAATATTTTTCGTTAATGCATCATTCCTATAACTTGTGGACGTAAGCTGTGTATTTTATTAATTATATCAGCATATTAGAGTCATTCTATTTCTCACAGCAGCAAAAGGAAATTATTTAATTTTAAAGTACTTGAAAATATAGGAACACGAACATGAGTGTTACAAATAATATTCAAATCATAACAAAAATCGATAACAAAGCATTTATCTTTCTCAATTAAATTTGAATAAAAAAGCTTACGTCCGATTAATGATTGCAAAAATTAAAATTATAACATATCAATAGTTACTTTAACTATGTATTTATTTATAAAGACAGTAAAAGATAATAGATTGATGACTAAATTCTGCTTTAATTTATTTCAGTTTTATTACAATCTCTTATTTCAAATGCAAACAGTGGCAATTCGATACGCCCTCGACGGGAAAATGACTAAGTTTGTAGAGAAATAGTTCGTATCCTCGCCAACAAATGGCGTAACAATGCATAATTATCGAGATTACAGTTTATGTATGGAAATTATTTTGTTTACAGTGAACAATAAACTTATAGTGCAAGCATTATGATATTAAAATTCATTTGGAAAAATGCTTTTCCAGTTTCTACAGCGAGGTATTATACAATCTGGTTCCGATATGTAACTTTGATAAGTAAAAAATCATTCTGTTTAAAACAATAATTAATTTTGGTAAAGTTCTACTTAATATTTTCTTAATATTAAAGCAGAATTTAGTCATCAATCTATTATTTTTTTTTTTTTATATTTCTTATATTTTAGTGCTCAATTTTTACAAGTTTCAATTACTGGATATTATGCTTGACATGAAAGTATCTAGTGTTGGTATATCCATCGTGTAATGGCGTTAACTATAGATTTACAAGTTAGTTCAGTCTGTTCACCAGTAGATGGTAGGTCATTCCGTTTTGTTGAAAGTCCTATATTACAGTTTATTCTGTATTATTATTTTTTGAATAAAAATCTTTGTAAAAAAGATGGATCATGGAAAGGATGATCGTGATGTGAGAAAGTAATTTACCTTTCTTCTAAAAATTCCTTTGTAAAATGTTAACCCTTTGCATTCGAGAGGTGACTCTCAGTTACCATTAGGTTTCACGGAGCAAATCTACAATACCCAAAGTTTTTAGATTTAATTTCTTTGGAGCTCAACGTATCAATAAAATGATTTTCGGTGAGGTAAAGGTGACCTTGTTCTAAAATCTCGATAGCTTAGAATTCAGAGCAATAGAATGTTAAGAAACATCTCGAATTGCTGGTAGATACCAGAAAAAAAAACGTCGAGCGCAAAGGGTTAATTATTGAAAAAATTGTAATAGTCTCTTTCCAACGAAGCCAAAGGGTTAACAATTCCAAAAAAAAGAAGTAATTTTATTTTCTTAAATCCATGGAATATCTTCGATCCTATCGGGATTTTTGAACAAAAACGTGGAATACCATGAAAATAAAACCAATCATATTTTGTAATATCGATTTATTTACACAGTAGCCTACGTTACATTATTCATTATTATCATAGATGAACATGGATGGTACATGAATGATTTCGAACAGAATGCGTAAACGTGGTCGCAGTTATATATTCATGAGTCTGAAATTTAGATGAGTGGATCTTACAAGCGTCGAGGCATCATTTGTAAGAAGGGAGTGATGTAGGATATCGATCGATTCTGATGAAAACCTAAGTCTTCTTATGAATTTTCATCGTTTGTTAAACTCATTGAATTTTCCATTTCTCGTTCTCTGATCACTTCTTCCTGTACCCCTGTTTACGTAGAGCCTTCAAATCCACGTCGCCGTAGTATTTTTCGCTATGAAATTTATTATTTACAGAATTATAATTGTCTTACACATGTAGCGAAGAAGATAGAGGTAGAGCGAAAGGACAGTATGCTTATCAACTAGATTTTCAGGGTTTTATGGGGTCAATACGGAAGTACTTTACTGTATCACAGCCGACAGTGAGTTAGAATGTGTACAATTGGTTTAGTCGAATTCATTTTTGTATTAGTGTTAATATTATTTATCGTGGATAGTGAGATATCAGTGTAATTTTAATCGATGTTAATTTAATTAAGCAAAACAAAATTTAAACGAAGGAGATGCATAGTTTAATATTATCTGTCCGGCAACGATGGTACGAGTAGGCCCAATAAGTGTGACACATCGTAACTGCGTTATCAGTGTATTTAGAAAAAAGAATTGAAAGTGAGAAAATAAATGGTTCAGTATCATATTTGCAGCATCATATTTTTTTTACAAGTGCAATGGCGTGTATACGCATTTGATAGTTGAATTATGTTCTTAAATTGAAATGCATATTTTAAAATATAGAAAAGTATTAAGTATAGTTAAAGTAAAAAAGTGTTCAAATGGTCAAAAATTGATTAGTTCATTTCATTCTACAGATTTTATACGATTTTTGATATTTTTCATTTTTTTTTTCTTGAAGAGGGCATGCGATTCCATTAAAGAAAATAATACAACTATGGAATGGACATGTGCTATTATATATATATAAAATATATAGTTTTTCTCCCTGTAAAATTATACTCTAAGGCCTAAGGATACCGATAACGAAGTTACGGCTTGTGTCACATTTATTTGGCCCACCCAGAACGATATCTTGCCCATTACTGACCCTAGTTCACAGAGTAGAACACAAACGTGAAATTACACAAAAATTTGTTATTTTGTTCACTCGTAAAACAAGCATGCAAGGGTTAGAGTCCCGACGTTCGGTCGAGGGTGACTTTCCAAAACAAAAAGCAACACGGGGAAATATTCAGGCAACTGGGATCGGGGTTTTTCGAAAGCACACAACCTTATTTTTTTTTTTACGAATTTTTTTCCATTTATTATACGAATCTTTCACATTACTTACAAATATACGGATGAGTCTAGCTTACGCAAGCATGCTCGACCGAGGCCAAGAGTGCGACAGGACGGGCTCTCGAATTGAGGAAATTTCAAACTCCCCTGTCCACTGAATTCTCATTCGGATTCCTCTACGAAATTCAGCAAACTTGTTCTCCTGCGCGATAATACACGTACATCGCGATCACAGAGATACTTTCCTTTGCGTATGCTCTTTTTTCTTTTCTTTTCTTTTCTTTTTCTAAATCGAACGTCTCATTGTAAACAAAGGGAGTATGAACAGCAAAGAGACAAATTCAGGGGTGCAAAGACGACAACAGGCAAGAGAGAGTGAAAGAGGAAGCTCGAAGGGAGGGTCAACGAGGAAGTTATCGATGAGACGACACGATTGCAACTTGACACGTTAGTATCCTGATTAAATGTACCGAATTTTCATCAGGAAAACGAAGACGAGCTAAAAGAAAATCGAAGATAGATTCACCGAGAGAGGGTAAAGTGTTCGAACGATGTTCGCAGATTTTAATCAGCCTCCCACGCTCTGACGAGCTATACGATCAGTCTCTTAATAATTTTACACGGGTTCCTCGTTCGATTTTCTCTTCTACAGTACAATGACTGGACGACGAAAGACAGAGAACAGGGCGCGGGGAATTAAAATCGCGCGAACAACTCGGTTCATTTTTATTGTCCCCCGACGCCATTGTTGGCGGCGAGACGCTTCTTCTAATTAATAATTAGCGCGAACATTGATGCGAATGAAATTCGAATTTTCGCTCTCCCCAAATTCGAAACGAATTGTCTCTCGTGGATTTCTGTCGAACGCGACGGTGTTCACCGATATTATTATAGCGGTGCGAATAATTGCAGCTTCGACGAATCTTTGATAACTAAACTGTACGTTTATATCGCGATTGGAAATAATGGTCGTGCACGAACGCAAAAATATATAAAGTACACGTTGCACTGTTTAGAAGATACGACGTACTTTCGTGTAAACATAAATCTTCTGTATCTATAAAAACATGAATTCTGCATAAACGTTCGTGAAATTCAATATTAAAATGAAGTAGAAGATTAATTAACCTCTTCACGACCTTGGCCACATATGTGGACGTTTAGTTTTTTATAATTATAACTACTGTCAATAATAAAAAGAACAAAAATTGTATGGTCTGGCTGCACTGATAATAACTGCACTAATATTTCCGATGTACAGTTAGAGATATAAGAAAAGCGTGCAGAAAAATCGTCCCCGAAGAAGTTAATTAAGAATTTCGAATAAAATTGGTACAAAAATTTGTAGAGAGTATACAAAAATATTAAACGTGTACGTTCTTTTTTATCGTCTAATATCCATATTCAAAGGTCGAGAATAATAGCATATCTAAATCTCCACTGAAAGAGAGCAAAAGTTTATTTACTTTATCCAATTTGAAGCTTCCTCGAAACGATAAACATAAATGAATCCATTAAAAAGATTTATCATTGTACGTTCGCAACTCTAGTCGTTCGAAAACTAGCCGACTGACAAAATGAATTCGTGTAACTGATAATCGCAAAGTTACACCAGATGTACGGGATAAAAACTCGACGAAAAGGCGCGAGTATCGCAACACAATGTTCATGACACCAATATTTGCGTCTAGGCTTGAAATACCAGCGATCATGGTCACTATTCACTCAAGGTATCTAAAGATAAACATCTAGGTGGTGGTTCGAGTTCGTTCGATTAGATACGAAGAATTCGCGACTGGTCGATACACATAATTACCATATACAATTCCACCTTCCGAGTAGAATGTCGACCCTAGAATTATTCGCACCACCACGAGCTTTACAAGCTTTGCCTCGAACGTTGACCGAGCACTCGACGACTTTCAGGGTCGCACGTTTCGAGGTATCGGACAATCAGGATCGTTTTCGCGCGAGATTTTCCGAGTTCGCCCGGGATTCTAGGTAAATTGTTCGTTTTGTGCGTGCGCGACAGAAATAGGGAAACGGAGAGACGTAGATAGAGATAGAGAGCTTTGCGGAGAAAGATGCCGAGATGGAGACGAGGGAACGCGAAGACGCGAGAAGGGGAATAGATAAATGGAGGGTTGGGGTGTGGGTAGGGGCGTTATTGGAAATTATTCCTGGGGTGTGTTGGGCCTCGCGGGTGCCGACGGGGGCCTTGGTTTGAGTTGACCGTGGGGCTTCCTGGGCTCGCCCGAATTCTGTATACCGGCAAGCAGCTCGCTCTTCCTGATGCTCTTTAGGTCCAGGTCACCATAGTAATCCTCACTGTGAAGCAGAACCAGGAAAAATCCGGAGCTTAGGAGATGCGTGAACGGTGCCACCTGACTCGCGGGTGTATCGTGTTCGAGTTAATCACGTACGTGAACGAGTGTTTGGCATTCGGAGCCGCTCGAGACCCAAAACGTGACGCGTAAAGAAATTTCGGGATCTACGGGGCTGTTTCGTTTCAAGGGGAATTGTTTAATATTTAATGAGGGGTTGAAGGTATCGAAAAAAGTGTTTTCACGATAGTTATTTTGGGGGACGTTGTTATTCACGGTGTTCGGTAACTGGTGGTACAAACGAAAAGGGGGCGATTCTACGTGAAAAAGTAAGTCGAAAGTATAGAATGAAAGTTTTTCATGCGAGGCTTCGTTTTCGAGAAAATCGACTTTGAATTTTCGTCGGGTACGGGTGTATTTGTTTATGTCCCTTTATAATGGATCTCACTGTAGATCATTGTCTCGATTGTAGTTATGTCGATAAACACTTCCAATGGCACGGAAACTTTTTCTTACCTATTATCGTACTATTATTATCTAAAACGATCGAATATGTTAGAAAGGGATCATAGAAATTTAATTAGAAGAGCAGAAGTACGTATTCGGCAGAATGGGCAACACTTTTAGCAATTTCTGTAATAATAAATTTTATGATTACTTCAACATTCTATTTCAGTACGTGTTCCTAATTTTCCGTCACGATAAAAACAAACTTAAACTGCGATAATAATCATCGTGACAACGATCTACAATGAGATTCGTTATAACGAGATATGATCAAGGACACCCGTTTCCGACGAAAATTCGAAGTCGATTTTCTCGAAAACAAAGCCTCACATGAAACATTTTTATTCTATATTTTCGACTTATATTTTCATGTAGAATTGAAACAATAATGTATGGATTAATTAGTCGTTAAAGCAATTGGGAATAGAGTGAATAAGAGTTTGTTTCATTATCTGCTACCATGTACCAAATATACAAACAATTACTGGTCCAATACCATTCTAAGTAAGATCAACTTCATTTTTCCGCTTTCCATTTTAACGATATAATTTTTTGGTGTTTATTCAGAATGTGCCTCTAATCCATTGTTTACAATGTTCTTATTAATTAAATTAAAAGGGATAATAAAATCAATTTTAAAAAAATTAATAAAAATTACTCACATCTTCTCAATTCCATGCTCTTATATGTTTAGTATACAATGATTTGAAATCGAAATAATAAATGTTCACATTTACAAATGTGTTGGTTTTAAGAACGATAGTAAATATTATTGAAAAAAGCTGACGGTTCACATAAGCTTACTTCAGGATATTAATCACAAAATAATTCTACGAATAATGAATAATGAAATAAACCGAAAAATGAAATAAAGAATGGGTTTCATAAAGTGGAAAGAGTAGTATCGCAAATAGAAAGGTATACACAATTAATGTGTGTATGGACAAAATCAAATTAGTCAGAACATAATCTTTTACTTTATGAAGTAATTAAAGACTCAAAAGAAAGAAATTCTTTTTTATCTGTTCCCAATTTAAATGTCTTTTTCGAAGTAAGACTTGAATGCACCACCTAATCATTTTAGGATGTAATTTTAATACTTCAAAATTAGTAGAGTCGTTAATATTAATTAAAATTGCGTTACGGATTAAACGGGTTCAATATAAAACAATTCTCGTATCTTTAGCGGCACGTTTTGAGCGTTGGCTTTCATACACGTTATTCCTGTTCTCGTTGAACATTATGTAAATATTGTGTTACGAACATTTGGATGCTGTTACGCAAAACTTATCGACCCGGTATCACAGCACGGGCGTATCCAGCTCGAAACAGAAGGGGAGGGGAACAGCTTTCTGAACTCAACTTCTTACGACTTGTCACAAATGTCGCGAGTATCTCTATTTTGTAATTTGACTTTTTTAAAACGTTGAGTTACGAACAACCAACCTGTTAATCAATTTTCCAGAAATTTGTTGATCATATTGTCATGCATCAGAGCAAGGCGTATCGGGACTATTCGTTTAATTGCGTCGCTCGAGAAAAAGGAGAAATTATATTAGGAACTTTCAGCGTGTGGTTCTAAACGTGTCGCGGAGTTTTAAATACTGTAATCGAACGTGGACTATATAACACCTGGTTTATCCAGAATTTGTTTTTACGTAACGTCTGGTCGCGAAACTTTCCCGATGCGTAAGCGTAGCAAACTTACAACGACGGTATCACTTCATTGCTCGTTTTAACGTTATCGATTAAAGTTCGGAGCGAGTAGGAGAATATCGGGAAGTTTGGACATTTTGTTTTTTGAGAGAGAGAGAAAAAAGTAAAGCCGTTTCATTTCGATTAAGTCGAACTGTTAGTGCAAACGAACATGGTGCTCTCGTGCAATTACTTCGCTGGGTTTCCAACCATTCTCATTCCGGGATTTAAAAATATTTCGGTTTGGGCAGTCAAATTGAATACGCAGGTAGGCACTACGAGCATTAGTCTTTATAATAGTATTAATGTTATATTAATTGTATGCATATGTGTATTGCATATAATAACACACATACTTATATTTACGTACATATATATATATATATCTTCTTCAACTTATCTCTCTCTATATATATATGGTTATTTATATATAAGTAAGTATATGTGTGTTTATTTTATATAATAATAGTATAATTAATATAACAATTATTGTTATTCTATATATTATGTAAAGCAAACAAACATGGTTTACATGATATAAATATACAGGTATATAAATATAAATTGTATGTACAATATGCATTTACATAGTTTTGGTTTGCTTTATTATGTATAATTTCTAAAAGTGTTTGAACAGGACCAAATAAGTATAACAAGTTATCATTTCATTATCAGTGCTGTTAAAGAAATATGTCTAAGGAAGAAGACGAATGATTCGAGGGATGTTATATTATCAGTACCGCATTTTTTTTTTTATTAAGGTAATGGTGTATGTGATATGGTACATTTTTTGTTTAATGGAAATGCGTATCCTTTTTTTTTGTATCGATTGAATCTTTTTGTTGTACTAAATCAAAAACAGCATTAAGTTAATGTAGTAAAAAAATGATTAGCTCGTGAGATTTTGCTATGAGACAAACGCTTCTTCATTATATTCTACGCACATTATACAACGTTTTTTTAATTGTTCTCAACGCTGAATTAAGATGATTTCGGTTACGATCGTCTACGGAGAAGATAATGGATTTCCATTTAAAAACATAATGCAATTATTGAATGCACATGAGCCATTCCATCGATAAAGAAATATGGTCCTGTAAATACAGCAACTTTAAAAGTATTTCCTTTTTCTACTTTTTCGGAAACAGTCGCAAGTCTCTTGTTTGTATCGATGCAACCATATTGATTAGGCTATTAGATACGACTTGTAAGTAACAAAACATCTCCATGTTCTTCAATTTATCTCTATTGCAAATGATAAAATTGTTGCAAGGTATAACACAGTTAACTATAGAAGCAAATATAGCGTATTAACCTTATAAATATATAGTAACATATACATTTATATATATTGGTAATCAACCGACAATAATAAGAGAATAAATAATTTTTCTAACAGCACTGGGCAATGAAATTATCATTCCGTTACACTTGCCTGTCCTATCTTGTACGTTATTCTGATAATAACAATTACCTGCGTATTTAATTTCAAAGAAGGAAAGCAATCGAAGGACCAAAGGTTAAACTCCTATCGGGTTCAATTCTAAAAGGTGGATCGCTGAAAGAATGTTAACACGTTGGTCGCCACGTCATCCAGAAACGGGTGACAGGACTTTTGCAATAAGGAACTAGAACAATTCACTCCACAGGTGAGACAATAATGAAAATAAATCTGACGTTAAAGAAATTAAATACTATGACAAATGGTAAATTATCTAATCTTCCTAATGGTCCTCGAGACAAAATTTTAACCTCGCGGAAATTTTCACGAGTTTCAGCTTGGCAGCCAACGTGTTAAAGGAGCTAAAAGAGCAAAGTGGACTCACCATCCAGGAACGTCTTCGGGATCCTCGCAGGCGCCGCTGCCGTCGGCGTCACCGATCTTGAAGACGGTGCCGATAGGGCAACCGTACTCTCTGGCGATACCCTCCAGGCATATGTAATACTTTCTGCAGTCCTCGGGATGGGCGTGTCTGCTGAAGCTGCCGGATGCTCCGCTCACTTCACCCGCGGCGGGACACGTGAAACCTCCTGCGACCTCTGCGCAATGCGATAAACCATACAGAACATGATGAGATGAAAGAGAAAGAGAAAGAGAGAGAGGCGTGCCAGCCACCTCGCAATTACACAAGGAACAGGTCGAGTGTGATGTCGGTGAATGGTAAAATCAGGGTTCGGCTTTGAATTCTATCGCGAGCGAAGATTCCGCGCGATGAAACACAGGATGTGCGTGGGGAACATTGTCACGTATGGGTGATCGAATGCGGGGTGACACTAGGAATGAATAATATTCTGAGGAAAAGTAACAGTCGTACGGTGGGCTTGGTGGATTTCTGGTGAATGGACGTTTCGTAACATAGTATTTCGCTCCAACTGGTGTGAATAACGGAGAGACTGGGGCTCAGCGTTTTTGGACACCTTTATAAGCGCGTAAAACCTTTTAACCCTTTGCACTCGAGAGGTGACTCTCAGTCAACACAAGGTTTTCTTTAGGTTTAATTTCTTTGGAATTCAAAGTGCTCATAAAATAATTGTCGTTGAGGCAAAGATGACCTGATTCTCAAATCTCAAATTAGAGATCTCATTTTCGAAGTCATTATAATCTTAGCATTAGCATTAGCATAGAAAGAAAGGCCTCGAGTGCAAAGGGTTAATATCGTCGACGAATAGAATTCAATGCTTGATTGAGGTATAAAGATGTCTAGCAATATTGACAGTGGTCAATCATGGGATCATCGGGTTATTTTTTAAGAAATCTAAAATGGGTCCTCCAAAGGTGTTGATCTGACGATCACCTGACCGAAATTTCTCACAATTCAAGAAGCATATAAAACATCGTAATATTGTTGATAATTGTAGTGGAATGTTTGTATGAGGTACAAAGGGGTCTTGATTAACACTATGCGCGGTTGGCACCGGTAGAACGGACTGATAGTTTTCGCATGGCACCACAGAGGTGCCACCGGACGGCATAGTGTTAATATTGACAATGGTCACTTACAGAGTTCACGACAGAGTCTTGATCAAATATTAATACGTGAGCATGATTAGTGAGTAATTAGTAGACTGCGGATCTTTATGCATTTATAGGAAATTTGAAAGTGCAAGAAACTATGTACAAAACGCAAACAATGTGCAAGAATATAAAAAAGATTGAACGTAAAGTTCATGTTATAATATTTGCAGAATAAAATAAATTCCAATTTAAGTTAAATTTTTGTAGGCACGTTCGCGAAGATTTCATTTTGCATAAAGTTCCGCAGTCTAGTAATTAGGAATGATTAACCGTGAATGATACAAGGTAAACTTTATTGACAATGATTTATTGAGAGAGGAAAGAGAAAGGTTAATCTCATAATTGTGAACGATGGTTGCAAAAGCAATTAATAATAAGTTAATGAATACTCGAACTAAATGATAAATGAATGATCGAACGCGCAGGGTTATTAGATATCGGTTTAGAAAAACATTGTGTAAAAACATGGCAAAATTACCTTAGCAAACTTTACTGGGATTGGTATGATCGAGTTTGCGATCGAGTGTTCACAGGTAGTCAGAGAGTTAAAGGGTCATGCGCAGTCACGAGGCCGAAAAATGCAAGATTCTTGTGATTTTTGTATTCAAACATCTAAAGACATCTCTACAAAAATTGTTCGTGCATTTAAAAGAGCATATTTTTGAGAATCCATAATAATTTTTGCAATAGAAAAATGACAATAAATAGACTATAATTACATACAATAAAAAGTTGTATGTAATATATTAAATTATCTAGTCCTTAACGAATCGGTTTTAAGAAATATTGATTTGGGACAAAATGGCAGACGTTTTACGAACAAATTTTTATCGAAAATCACAATATTTTCTTAAAACACCTACCATTTTGTTCCAAATCAATATTTCTTAAAATCGATCCATTAAAGGCTAGATAATTTAATACATTACATAAAACTTTTTCGTTTCTTCATTTTAGATGATCCAGAATCGAGTGACAGTGGTCACCGCAAAACGCTTTTCCTTGACAGGGTCTCCAAAAATTGTCAATGTTATGTCTATTTATTTATATTTTTTATTGTAAAAATTATGATGTATTCTCCGAAATATGGTCTTTTAAATACACGAACAGATTTTGTAAAGACGTCTTTAGATGTTTCAATAAAAAATCACAAAGATCATGCTTTTTTCGGTCTCGTCGCTGCGCGTGACCCCCTTAAGGTGAAGGGGGTACCACGAGTAAAGATGCTTGCTTGGTCGCGAGGTTAACTATTAACGCTGACTATACGATGTCTGACCCAACACGACTCGCAATTCCTTTTAGGATTGATCTTTCGAGCTCCCATCAGCAAATGCTAGAGAGCAACGATGAAAATTGAAAGTCAGCAAATGCTGATTTCACTGCAGTTGCGCTCGAGGAAAAGTTTGATTGATGAAAAGAAATCGCGCGACCAATTTTTTGCTCAACTTCGCGATCGTTGATGTATAGTTTGGCAAATTAGAAAAGATCGTTGCGGTGGAAGAACATTGGCGAACATTGTGGCAACATTGGCCACAATGCTATCAACAGTAGCATTTTCATACTATACGAGTTCGGATCCTACGATAGACCATAATTTATAGTACGATTAACGGGAGCATGTAGCTGTGTAAAGTACTTTGTCTCTGCACTGTTGTACGTACTATGCAGGGATGAGAAGTTGGTCAGCGAGTCTGACCAATTGTGGTATAATCTACTAAATTATACATTGGAAGGTAGAGCCAGAGGAAGGAGATTATACTACAATTAGTCAGACTCGCAGACCAACTTCTCATCTCTGTATATAATACATGTTTCGGCTTCTGTATATTTATTTTCTTCCTTCTTCTGTTTTCTTTATTTTTTTTATTCAATGCTTCATTTCTTGTTTGTATGTAATATTGGCGCAACAAAGACGTAAATATTGCAGTTGGTAGTCTTTGGTAAATCTATGTCAGTCCATGACATCCTACACAGTTTCTATCACACTTCTACTTTATTTAAATAGCATCTAGCTCAAACAAGTTCGGATATACTATACATTGAAGCTCCCATTTCATACTAATACAACGTTAATTTATGTTATAATTTGTAGTTTTCACCATAATCTTACTTGTTTTAATCAGCCTCTAGGTCAAATAATATTTGAAATATTTAATGTTAATGTCATTCCACGTCATCCTTCATAATTTGATTTCTATTAAACGAATTGGACATTGTTCGAATATTTAGCATCTAGCCGAGATACTTAATAAATTAAAGGCCCTATTTTGTAATAATACAATGTGTCAGTCCATGTCGACCTTTGTAGTCATTACCATAATCTTGCTTTTTTCGAACGACATCAGAAACTAAATAATGGTGGTAATTGCACACAACCCCTGTGAGTGACACCTACTAAAAAAAATCAGGAATGATGACCGGTTATTTAGCTGACACTTGTAAAAGTTTCAGAACGGTCGGAGTCCTGGAACATGGTTTTAATAATTAAAAAGAAACAAAAATCCCATGCGTTACGCTCCGTGCAACGGGCTGAAGTAGAATGGGATAGTGGTCAGACACATTACGCGTATCGTTATAGCTATGCGTACGACAGAAACTGCATATTTTCACTACAACAGTCTAATAGCTTATAAAACAATGAATCCATCGAGGTTCAATATGTTGACCTTCGTGTGACATTTAGTTCGTTTCATATTGCCAGTTTTGTTTCTTTCTAATTATTTACAACTAAGTTACAATCCATCGAACGACACACAGCGCGTGTTTATGAGCAATGTCTAGATAGCGTTTAAGAAGTAATAAACAGAATATTTGTAAGAAAAATTGTATGATATCAATTACAAAATTGTTGAAACTGATTGCCTCACTGTCGTATACATAGCTGTAACGATACGCGCAGTGTGTCTGACATACATTGTCTCATTCTCCTTCAGCCCATTGCACGGAGCGTAACGCATGGGATTTTTGTTTCTTTTTAATTATTTAACCATGTTCCAGAACTCCGACTGTTCTGAAACTTTTACAAGTGTCAGCTAAATAACCGATCGTCGTTCCTAATTTTTTTGGTAGTTGTCGCTCACAGAGTTGTTTGCAATTACCACCAGCAAGAAATAAATTATTTATTTTCTACCCTTAATAATTAAGAAAATACCCTGAAAAAAAATATACGAGATGCAGTCTATAAGTACGAATATTTTCGTTTTTGCAGAATTGAAATATCTGAAATAGTAACCGAAAAAAGAAATAATAAAATTAAGGATGTGTAGAGGTGTAATGGTCTGAAACTTTGCGGGATGATGTTTTAGGTCGAAATCATTACACGGCACATGATACCACTGAAAATTGGGGTGGAGGTCGATTGCCTACCCTTATCCTGCTAGATCCTTTGTACGTCTAACGAGACATTACTGTACTTTCAATTTTGCTTCCAGGTTCTTCACTCATCCATATGCAGACTCTCTGACTTCGCATACAAAACTTTCGTTTCACATTCATACTTCATGCACACATTCACGCTTCAGGTACGTTTCTACCACATTCAGACCACTCCTTCAGGAATCTGTCCCAAGTTGTAAACCTATGCATTCGTACGCATCACCCGATGCCCGTACATACCTTCGACTTTGCATTCAGGTACTTGATCCGCCCACATGCAGACTCTGGCTTCACGATCATAAGCGAGTCCAGGACTGCACTGATACCTGGAGGTCTCTCCGTTCCAGCAGTTCCAGAACACGTCGCATTTCTTTTCGTCGGGGAAGATACCGTAAAGTCGGGGACAATGCGGCGTGCTCACTGCTGGCTCGAGCTGCGTCCTGTCGCCGCAGTCGACGTTGTGGAGGTAGTCGCAGTTTTCGGTAAGGAACTTGCTGTCGCTCGCGTCGAAGGCGAGACCATTACCGCAGGTCTTCAGCTCCGCGACGTTGTTGTCGCATTTCCAGTACTTGTCGCAGGATATGTGATGAGGATAGAAACCGAAGTCGTCTGGGCATTTGAATGACTCCTGGGCGCTCGCGCCTGTAATCGTAACGATGCGTGGTTAGTGTCACATGATATTTATATTGCAATGCATTAGGCGGAGAAATTGATTCTCACACATTATATTCAACCATTTATAATTGTAGTCTTAGTTTCTACTAAGGTATAGAAATTGAGACTAATATAATTGAGATATAGATATAATATAATTGAGATATAGAAACTGAGATTATAGAAACTAAGACTACAGTTTCTACTAAGACTACAATTATAAATGATTGAATATAATGTGAGAGAATCAATTTTTATATTTACTTCTCATGTTGATGCATTAAAGCACCAACTTTCGAATTGTAAGTCCTCAATCTGATCTCTATTACGATGTATCTAAACACATAACCTAACGAGATAAGATTGTAAGGCTCAACCTGATGGCCATTATAATGTGTAGAAATTAATTATGTATCTTTTTAAAGGAAACTTATAATTTAAAAAAAAACTTTCCAATTTTTTATCTTCTCTGAGTCATACATTTCGAAAAAGCACATGTGATCGTGTAATATAACAAAAACGTGATAGATAAATAATTCTTATTAAAGTGGAGTTTTAAATGATTCAATGTGAAGGCAGAGAATTAATTTCTACATCTAATATATGAACTTTAGTAGACATATAATTTTACTTGTTGTTATTCTCCTAGAATTATTATAATTATCTAAAACACTTGTAATACGGTAGGAGAATAATAATAAACAAAATTGTATGGCTACAAAATTTCGTATATAATATATACATATCTTGTGATGGTCATCAGCTTAAGACTTAAGTTAAAAATATTTCTACTTAAACTAGAGTAAATGATTGAATATAAAGGCACAGAATTAATTTCTACGCCTAATAATCAATAAATTGTGAATACAAACGGGAACGTTTCATTGCACGGGGTACCATTTGCTGGTACCATCGGGAAGATTTTTTAATAATAAAGAATGCTCTGAAATCTACTATTTTTTATCTTAATAAGAGATTTTAAACAAAGTGGCTATAATATTAGTTTAAGGTTTCACCCATCACAAGTCTAGAGACGTTAATAATATTCCTAAGTACATTTTCAACGTTAATCAATAAGAAACTTCATTCTCGATTCTGTTGGAGCGAACGAGAACCCCCTTAGATAGTAAAATGGAAATTGCACCTGGCTTCCGGTATCGAGTTGTAAAAGTCATCTCGGTAATGTAACACGACAGACAAAAAATACTAGACGGTTGTAACGTTCCTGGCATCGAAACGGACAAGAAATATTTGTAGCGGGTGAGCAAGAAAATTTGCTCAGGCTTGCAGAGTTATATTGACGAAGGACACCCCGGTAGAAGTGAGATGCACAAAGAAGCTTCGTTTAATTTCCGCAAAACTTCCGCAAGAAGTGTTTACTTTCAGCCAGTTTAGTCGATTCGTTCAGGCATTGTGTCTGACTAGTCTTACTCGTTACGATAGTAATGACAGCCATATTTGGCGAAAAACTGTGAAATAAGTAACGAGTTTGAATACAAACGTTTTACGTAAAACCGCTTGGCAAAAAGGCGTAGGGAAATTAAACCAGCCATTCTAATTCAGCTGATTACATATTTCCGTCTTTAGAATGGAAATTAACAACAGCTAATCCTTCATTGCGGTCGCGATTTCTAACAGTCCGGGGATCTTCGAAACGATGTATTATTTCAAACGATTCGTTTGAAAGAGTAACGATCGTTAAATTGCATATTTCTGCGTTGAATTCATCCAATACCACACAGATTTTCCCGTTCGAGAACGATCCGCAGGAAAAAATGTACGCTGCGGTTACCACTGCGGCGTAACACTTAATCGTGCCAGGGATTCGTGGTAATCGTGTACAATTTTAGTCGTTGGACGGATATTACCGGAGAAAATTAAAAGATAAAATTGGTCGTCGCCTCAGAAATGGTATTTCCGTTGTCACCGTATATTGTGCTTTTCAAAGATGGGCGAAATTTTGATTTGACGAATAGAAACACGATACGGTGATTTATTCAATTAGACAGTTATACAGATAAGTTTGTATTCGATTCGATAGAAAATTGACTACACGGATTACATTTTTGAAAAACTTTCTACCATTGCGTAGTATTACGTGGTTATTTTTATGCGAGTACTTTATAATTTTCTTCCGTTCATAGTACTTAAAAATGACCGCGTACGTTATAGTTCGTAGTTATATTTCAATTAGCTCGTAACGAAGACTGAACAATCGAGTTTTACTTTTGGCTCGAACTACGTGAAATATGTATATTTTCAATGCATAAATTACAGTGGGTGTAGAAAGTATTCGTACACCGATCGATTTCCAAAAAAACTGTGTAAAATTGTAATTTAATTTATTTACATAATTGTAAATAATGACATTCCACATATTCTCGGAAATCTCTAGAATAGATAGATTACAAAAAAATAGCTATTTATGTAAGTTGCGAAATGAACAAGAAAAAAACAATTAATCGATAGAAATGTTGGAGCAATAAGTATTCGTGCAACTGTTAAAAGGACTTTACTGATGTTTTCTAATTCACACGGAGCAATAAACTAATGTGTCTACGTTTCAAACTCTACTGTAAATGGTTCCTCATAAGAATCGCACCAATACTTATTGCTTCTATATTTTTAGCCACTTTACGCATTTTTTTGTTAATTTCACAAATTATATCAACTAGTAAATGTTGTTTGGGCTATATCTATCTCAGAGACTTCCGAGAATATGTAAAATATCATTGATTATAAAAAAAAAGAAGTTTTGAAGCCACAATTTCACACAAAAGTTTTTTTTGGAAATTGATCGGTGTATGAATACATTCTACAGCCATTGTAAATACCAATCGAACGAGCAATGCATTAAATGTCGTCGAAAATGTTTATTTAGATAAGAATGTCGTTCAATCTCTGGATAATACAAAAGTTCTTTGTTTGACGTCTACGTTAGGAGGATACCCGAGAAATGAAACGTCTGCGTTACGTTTTCGCTTTTATTACCAATTCTAATACAAGTGCGTTCTTATCGGCTATTGTCCCTGTCGCTGGCGGCTGCCAATTACGTCTAATAATCTGTTATTCTTTTTTCGCGGCATATGATGTCTGAATAACCTAAACGTCTTATGTAAGGACACAAACTGACTTTCGCCAGGCGCTTTCACTTTGGGCCTAGAGCCAGGCCCCGCCACCAGCAGCCGCAACACCAACACGGCTCGTGACTGGGCTCTCCCAGCAGTCCCAGCATCCCGTTCACTCGACTCTCCTCAACGCGTTTCTCCGTCGCGAGCGTCGTCTTTCTCGCGCACTCGCGCGGCCGCATGCGCACACCACCGACGCGCGTTACTCCGCGAAATCCCCTCCATCGACCCCCTTCGGGCCCTCGCATGTGTTATATTCACTTTCATTTTTCTCCGGGCCCAGTGACGCGTTACCCTATGGGCGAAAACGACATCTGCCAAAGAGGCCAAATGAATGCTCTAAAAATTCATTGGCGTTATTCTTATGCAATACAGGAAACGTGAAGTGTTATAATTGGGAATGTATAATGTTCACGATCCTTATAGTTGAGCCCTCTTTATATGTTTAGCGATTATTTATAAGATATTTAGTACTGTATGATTTCTGTTGAAGAAGGTGTTAAATGTTTTCGAACCTCATGATTGGGTCATTCTCGTATTCTTAGAGGTTACATAGAAAGTATTTAGTATTATACATTAATATTATTAGTAGATTTCTTCGTATATTTAGAAATTATTTGATTATCATTATTATTAGTGTTTTATATTGCTGTATACTTTCTAGATAGCTAAGTATGTCAAGGGGATTCAACGATAAGGGTTGAAAACATTGTGCATCTGTTTGCATAGAAAAGTTGTTATTTATGTGGCCCATACAAATAACAGCAATGAGTTTTTGAATTACTGATTTAAGGGCTATCCGTTGATGGTTATAAATAGACTGCGGATCTTTATGCATTTATAGGAAATTTGAATGTGCAAGAACCTACAAAATGCAAACAATATGCAAGAATATAAAAAAGATTGAAAGTAAAGTTTATGTTATAATATTTGCAGAATAAAATAAATTCCTATATAGGTTCAATTTTTTGTAGGCACGTTCGCGAAGATTTTATTTTGTATAAAGATCCGCAGTCTAGTTATAAATCAATGGTCAAACTATAGTTTACCTTTAAACTAAACGTAAATTCATGAATTTTATTATCAATTTATATTAGTTTTCTTATTCTTCATTTTCTTTTATTTTTCTTTGTTTCTGTGTTCAGTTAATCGTAATTTTGTTTGTTATTGTTTTGATAGATGAATATCTATCTTAATTTATGCTCGTTTTGTTTGTAATAGTTTTACTGTAATTTGGGAAATGCGACGTGCTAGAAAAATGTTAACTTTTCTGTGTTACTTCATGTTTTCAAGTTCATAATATAGTTATAAACATTTTATTGTTAATGTGTGTGATCGTCTTGATCACTATATTCTACAAATATATTTACAAAATAAAATGTTCGAAATGATTTGGAAACACACGTGTTGGCTACATTTAAGAATAAACAAAAGCTATTTAAATTTCAGCATTTCGTTATGATTCGTGTACTAAGTACATACTTGTTTTTAATTAACTTCTTCAAATATGAAACCTTGAGTTTAGTAGAACTAAGCTTTGTTTGGAGGTTTAAACATGTTTGTTTTTTTAGTGAATATTTTTATATTGTTTAATTTAGCGTCTTATAACGATTTCAAAGAAATGTCAAATATTGATTTCGAAAAATAATGGGGTATTTGGCACTTTAAATTGTTTCTGTTTACAGCGAGACATTAGTATGTGTATTGAAAACCTGAAAGCATGCTGCATTTTATTTCAATTTGTTTGAGATGAATTTATGTAAATGGATTCCTATTGTCTGGAGACGGTCTTAACACGAAACCCATAATGTTGGCAATTTTCATGGTTAAACTAATGAATGTTAATATGAGAACAAAAGTAGACCTCATAAAAAGGGATAGGTATTTTAAATAAGCTTTATCTTGCGCGAATGCAAAAAAGAATTTAAAATGAACTCTTTGTGCAAATTAAATTTTAATTAGAATTGAAAGTTTGTATGAAAAGAATCAAATTTTTAAGTACCGAATTATAGAATACAGATTATAGAATTAAATCCCAAATATCGAGTTATAGAATTATAAATTATATTCGAATTAAAGTACTTTACAATGACGAAATAAAAATCTAACCAGTCAATCGAATAAACGTTGAGAATAGATGTTACATATCACTAGACTGTATACTTATATTTATATGTGACTGTATATTTATGCAAATTCATATCTTCACAGACACAGAAAAAGAATTATGTGAAAAAGAATGACGTGTATATTATTGTTGATATTTTATATATTTTTTGAATTTTCGTACATTCTCATAGATTTCCCCATATTACTATTTGCCATAAATGCATAAACATTCACAGTCTAGTTATTATCTTATGGTTCGAATAAAATTTCGTTCGCACAGACTATCTAATCGACGCTTAAATTTATTACTAGACAGTACGTTTAGTAAATAATGGACGATTGTATTAAAAAAGGTGTGATTTTTTAACGCGATCGTCTTAATTTGACCACATCTGGATCCCCTAATTAGAACCGTGCCCGACATGCCGCGTGTTGCGTCCACGTTGCTCGGTTTCTCTGTCCAGGAATTTTCGACTGGTCAAAGATATTTCTATGTTTCAGTGGCGCTGGTCGATGATAAAAAGAAGGGTCAAGATCTGGGCCAAGGTTATCCTCTTACGGCGAGGAAAGTCCAGAGAGGGGAAGGAAAAAGAATGCAAATGCGTGTCGGGAAGGTTTCTCTTTGCACGGAAACTGAATCCGCCTTTCGCTCTCGTTTCGTTTGTAGATCACTCGAAGAAGCGTGCAAGACGATCGGTGATTTTCAATGATCGGTTTAAGGGGGTATCCTGAATTAGAAGGTCTAAAAAAAAGCGGTTTTTCGTGAATTTTTTTAGGATGGAAAAAAATAATTAATTCTATCGAACTTTTTATCCTATTTTCATACATATTTGAGTAGTATGTACAAATTTTTTCAACAAGAATTATTCAAATTGAGTCGACTGTGATGTACATTTGTAGAGCACCTCACAATTAAAACCTCCTATCGGCGGGAAAGATGCAGGTCGTAATTTTGGTTTGACACAAAAAATCGAGAATTACGACCTGCATCTTTCCCGCCGATAGGAGGCTTTAATTGTGAGGTGCTCTACAAATGTGCGTCACAGTCGACTCAATTTGAATATGTCTTGTCGAAAAAATGTGTACAGACTACTGAAATATATATCAAAATAAGATAAAAAGTTCGATAGAATTAATCAGTTTTTTCCGTTCTAAAGAATTTCAAGAAAAACCGCTTTTTTTTAGACCTCCTAATTCAGGATACCCCCTTAAAAGCATCGATAAATTGTTTTTCAGAATGGTGCTTCTTACTTTGTTGTTTCGATTGTTTTCTATCGTTGTCACGTTGATGCAGTAGACGTGTGCAGAAGTTTCTAGATACTTCGGTCTTTGCGCCGACTGCATGCGACAATTATGGGTCACGGTGTGCGAATCGAATTGATTTATTCGCGATCGTACGTTAACTCTCAGTCACGCGATTTTCATTTTATTCTTCGAAACGTGTTTTTTATTTTTGGCACGCATATCAATTAACGAATAGTAGTCTCTGTAAGTGTTAAGTGGTTTAATCTGGAAAAATTCTGGAAAATTTCCCTAACGAAGTTTATAGGAATCGATTTTATTTTGATTTCCAAACTGGCCGCGCTATATAATAGAGGGTTAAAACATTTTGAACGATTTCTGGATACCTGTTTCACCGACACGTCGCACCGTATGGTGAAACAGTTTTCATTTTTCTACTGTCTAAACGATACGTTTCAAGTATTCTATAAGAAGGTATTCGAAGAAATAACGCGCGAGAGAAATATGCCACTCTATAGTTTCAAAATTGAATGAAACACTCCTCGGGAACTTTGAAATCAGCGTGAAACGATTCGTCTGCACTTTGAATGGTTCAATGAATTTTTGGAATTATTTCTAATTCTCAGGAAAATTGCTGAGGTAAAAAAAGCGAGTAATGAATTTCTCAATAACCTAAGGGGTCACGATTCGAGTGTTTGCAAATGGTCCATCGTATATATCGGGGGTCTGGGTTAGGTATACTCGTGGATTATCGATCGTTCGTAAAATATTAAATAATTCCAAGCATGGACTCGTTTCCGGTTGTTTTTGCTTAAAGAACCAGAGACGTCTCAGTAGACTTAGTATGACAATCGCGACGAAGAGCGCACTCTCTTTTGTGATCCACACGCGTATGTCACACACTTATGTCCTCCACTTCCGACGAGATCGCTCGTCCTCCGAGTAACACTTGTTTCTCGATCATTATTTCGTCCCAATTAACGCATCTCCCCGTATACTATCCACCCTCTCGGTCCTCGTGATCGTAACGCGTTTAATTCGGGTACGTACCGGCGATCAGAATGGCGGCTATCACGTAGTACGTCCTCATGGTTACGAATGCGTGTGTCTCCCGCGTGGCACCGTGTTTTTCGAGTTTAGTTCGCTTGAGGTACGGTGGGTACAATTAAAAAAAAAAAAAAATACTATCACTTTTGCGGCCACAGACCTCCACTGCGCAGAGAGAACTCTGTGTTTGCGCCCTGTCGTTCTCCACCTTTATATAAGTCATTGGTCACGTGTTGTTCCTCTTCCACCTCCAGCACGGAGACCCTCCTTCTCTTCTACCTCGTCACTTCAAGAAGAGGTACCGTGTACCTCACCGTGTTACTTCTCTCCTCCTCCTCCTCCTCCTCCTCCCCCCCTCCCCCTCCCAAATCTCTGTCTTTCTCCTTTTCGTCTGGCCGATCTCACCTTTCTTTTTCTTTATTCTTCCCCGCTGAAAATGCCATCCAAAGACCTAACAGGGGCCACCAGTAATAACGTCCGTCCCGTTCGCTCCGACGGCGATGCTCCGTTCTCCGTTGTCGCGACCGTCACTGCCTTAAATGCTAAAACAATTTTTTTTTTTATTCCCGATAGTCCTCCGGCACGGCGATCCCACGTTCTGTAGCTTTTATTCAGGTTCGTTGCTCGAATGGCCGCGAGACCAGTTTTCGATGTCCGGTTGCTTTTCGCACCGGTACGCCTAAACGCGTCTACTTCTCGGTTTTCGGAACGAAGGCCCCCGCTTTGTTCCTTCCGTTACGGGGAATCGACAGGTATCCAGGGTCGAGAATGTTACCGATAGTTTGATTACACTTCGTGGATTGGAGCATTTCCCTGGGAGACGTGGCAAATATTTTGAGCGGTGAATTTCAATCGGCAACTTTGTTAGCTCTGCGATTTACGGTGTTAAGTAAATATTTACAAAAGAAATATTAAAGTAGTTCTTGAGAAATATTAACTACAGTTAGACTGCGGATGTTTATGCATTCACGGCAAGTGGAATTATGGATAAGAAGCAATACAAAATTCTTCAGTTGTTTGAAAAAAAAAGAAAAAAAAAAAACGGGTAAAAAGTGGGAAATTCCAAAATTTTTTGACAATGGGACCACCCCCGTAACATGCTCTACAAGATGCAAGAGGTTTCATCCCGATTGGTGAAGCCGTGATCCTCCTTTTCGAAGTCGGTTAAGAAATGTTGGATGTGTATGAATGCAAGAATGTATGAAGCGTTAACGATAAAGTACATGTTACACTGATTAGAATTAAAAACATGTTTTCGTTTAAATTTCGATTATTCATGCGTGTCTTTAGAAATGTCAATTTACAAAAATATCCGTAGTCTAATTATAAATAATTGTAATCAATTTTCTTAATGTAAAGTTAATACCTATATACTAAGAAATGAATTGTGATGTTTGTTCCTATATGTTTCTAAATCAAAACTTGTTTGTATACTCGTCAGAGTGCGTTCATTTACGAGAGAAGTTCGGCAAGTGTCACACGCCTAATCACAATGTCCTTTATATTTTGCCCGAAAATCGGTGTTAAGGGTGGAAACTTAAAAGGGTGGAAAGGTGAACAAATTCTTAAAGAAAAAAAAACATGGTTTAAATTTCGTCAAGAATTTTTTTCTCGTAAATAATAAAAATTCCTACTATATAATATTTAACGAAATATGCTTCATTTTGACCGAGGAAGTGAACAATAATTTTTGTAACCAATTTTAGATTTGTATCAAAATCGTCCTGGGTAATCCTACTAATTTAAAAGAAAATCATTCTTACATTTAAAAAAAATTGGGTTTCCGCTTTAGAGAGAAACTTTTTATATGTTTTTTTGTAGGGTTCCGTGAGATTTACAAAGAAAAAAAGTTTCAATCCAGAATGTTCGTTAATAAAGGTACTACGAATTTTTTAAGATTAGGTAACATTTTATATATTATCCGCCAAAATGAATTAAAAAATAGACTATTAATCGTTTACCCAATCAAGAGTTATGATTTTTCAAAATTTAGTCGAAAATTCTGACCGAAACTGGCATTTCGGACATACATAGTAGAGAGTACGTACTACAGTGTACAGTAACTCGAATTTGGTAACAGTTGGAACAAAACTGATTAGACGAAAGTTATACACTATGAAAATGTCTACAAAATTGCGAACTCAATTTTTATGCAGTGGTTGGTGAAAAGATTTAAGGTAGACGAAATATTTTTAAAAATAAACATTTTTTAAATTTCTTACGACGGTGTCATAGAATATTGAAAATCATTAAAGTTTGGATTTCAAGTTTGTCGATATCTCTTATGGTTTCAGCGATATTAGCAAAAATATAAATAATCAGAATTATTTTCGAGGGTCGTTTCCACCCTTAAAACCGTTTTTCACCAGAAACTTTATTTCTGCAAAAATTCAAAATTTTCGGCGTGTGACAATTGCCAAATTTCCTTTGTTAGTTCAGAAACATTCTGTATATTTGGTCTATCCAAACGTACGAGATTTACCGAACTCGTGCAGGTGGGACCAGGCGGGACTGTTTTAGTATACCGGTGGCGTGGTATCGTGGTCGCACGATTTGCAGAATATTGACCGATCGCAACGTGTTTATAATAATAATCGTGAGACCCTGGCGGCTACGTGATATAAAATAACGGGGAAGGCTGGAAGGGGACGAAGGTCGAGCACGATCGACGTGACTCATCGTGACACCCAGCTCTGATATACCACCCTGTTCAACATTCCGACAGAGGTTATCTGACAACGACTACTCAGGTGGCCGTTATTTCAGCTTCGGAGGCAATCGGCCGTAAATAGATTTCCGAGTGGGATCCGCTAACAAAAGTTCGAATCCAGATAAGAATCCAGAAGAACTCGCTTCTTGGGACCTTCGAAACTTCACCTTTTATTCCTTTTTCCCCAATAACCATAATACTGACGAGAAAGGGACGATCCCTCGGGCAAATGTAAATTGAAAATTAGAAATGAAACAGCAAATCTGAAGAAAGCTATAAAACAGAGCTTGGAATGTCATTTATGAAGTAATAACAATTATTTGAGTTGCACTTCGCAATTAATAAATTTGAATTGTGATATAATTGATAAGAAAAGGTCAAATAGAATTTTAGTTTTGAAATTGTTTGCAAGTCCAGATTAGAAAAATTAAGTAAATTATTGCCGAGTATAATGTTGAGTATAATGTTTATTCATAATATACGTTATGAAATGACATCGGCATTACCGTGCACTTTATTCAGGTTTCAATTTTATACTATAAATATTTATACTATAAACTTGTGTCTGCGGAAGTTTTATAGCTATATACGGTACCCTATGATTTTGCCGAAATGATGGAAAAATGTTTTGAAATGAAAGAGCGATTGCATTTTGTCATAATTAGACTGTGTACATTTATGCAAATTCATATATTTCCAGGTTCAGGTAAAGAATTGAGATTCATGTGAAAGTACATCGTATTTTCTAAACAATACAACACGAGTTTTATTATTGATATCTTATATACTTTTGCATTCATGCACATTTTCATTCATTTTTTTAAATTTTCACTTGCTATTCATTTGCTACGCATAAGCATCCGCAGTCTAATTACAACACTTAGAGCTATGTTTCATACATTATTTTAAATTTGTATAATTAAATAAAGCAGAACAATAAAATAATTAATGACATGAACTGTTGCAATTTAAAAAAAAAGACTGGTATTCGATGAATTAATGAGAAAAGTGGTACGTTTCTGCTCGCTATTGGGGTTCTACGGTAGAAAGTTGATTGTATCAGGTTTCGACTAGTCTCTGTATAACACGTATCAACGGAATACGATCATGGATGGCTTCTAATTTGCATAATCTAAATGGAGATGTTTTTTCCCCGTTTTGTAACGTCTCTCCCTGTGTTTCGCGTCGATTCACGAGGACGGTTCCGTCGATTTCGATGTCTGGATATTTTATGCGCTGCTGATCGGACCAACGATTGATATTTATTTCCTTACATCATCCATTCGCATTTCTGGCACTTGCCGCGTTTCTTGTACAAGAAAGTTCCAAGGATTTTGCAATTATTTCGTCACTTTTCGCTTACATTTTGCGGTGAGCTCTGGGCTTCGTCGAAGCGAAAGGCCGAAAGAAATTTTGAATGAAATGGTACATTGTATTTAAAATCAATCGAAGAATAGGAATCGAACACTTTGTGATTTGGTCTAGGATTACTCAGGGGTACTACTAATCAGTTATTTAGTTTGTTAAAGCGCATAGTCGTACACTCGGCTTGAACACTTAATTCTGCATTCTCACAATCCTTACATGATCTTATTTGTTCATATGATTTATCTATTTACGTGACCATTGCACAAGATTATGCCACTTATTGTTCTGCTATTCAAACTATTACGTGAAACATATCTTTAAGTGTTATGAAAAAAATGTAATCTCAAGACTACGAATTTTATGCATGTACGGTATACATTAATACGAAAAGCGCACAAAAAATATACATAATGTATGTGGAATATATTCTTTTAATTAATATGATAATATTAATATTTTGACTTGCATAAGTGCATATGTCTTTTGGTTACATTTCATATATATTTGTCGTAATCATTGGTACCGTAAATGCATAGAATCCACAGTTTTGTAATCATTCTCTCTTTTATGGGATTCTTTCGTACCTTTCTGGTAAAGTAATTATACCGTCACTATGAAAGTAAGCTTACTATACGTAGAATAATAAGACGCCCTCAGGGACTGTAGCGGTGTTTTTTGAAGCTACAGTACGGGCTTAGCAACCCCGAGGTACCCGAGCTAGAGATGAGAGATATTGCAAACAGTATTGAAACAATGCAGGCAACCGATTTGCTAAATTGAATCCATTCTACCAATGGCTGGCAATTTACGTCAATGGGCAACTGCGTTAATGTTTCGGGTATCTGTGCGAGTCGAGTTGGACGCGATCCTTCTTTCGGTTAGGTTTGATGTAAGGGAGAACACCACTGTGAAGGGTTGAAGAATTGCTAATTATTGTAATTTTTTTCTTTAAATTAATTACTTATCTTTTGGTTAAGGAAAAAGATGTGTTATTAAGGATTCATGGAACTATATTTATATAAATTTTAATTTAAACATACTGAAAAATGACAGTTATAAAATATAACACGAGGGCTCCTGAGAAAATTGTCTCCGCATGGTACATTGAATAT